TATATATATATATATATAGAATGGAGGAAGGAGGCTCTGCTGGGGTTTGAGCAATTGTTGCTCGGGTGGCGGTTTGGGTGGTTTCCGGTGGTGGAGCAGGATGGTGAGGTCTTATAGGGAGGTCATCGTGGGAGGTGCTGATAAAGGAGGTGTGGTCACTAATACGCTTGTGTTTCCTCGAGCATATCACAATTCTCTGTTGGGCTGCGATGCTTAAGCATTTATAAGGAGGGCGGGGAAGAAAGGTAGGAAACCAGCTATATTTCTATCAGAGAACGACAATGATAGCTTGGCTTATTCTTGTCAGATGGCACTGGTGGGAAAGTTCGTTTATGGACAGCCCAAGCTGGATATTATTTGTAAAGAATTTAATGGTCTAAAGCTGGCGGGAGGCTGGAAAATAGGACTATTAGATTGTAGACATATCCTTATTCAACTTACAACAGAGGAGGATTATGCTCGACTATTTGAGAGGAAAGCTATTAGGATTGATAACAGGGCCGTGAAGCTACTTAAATGGTTTGTGGATTTTGATCCACAGACAGAAGCTCTGATTGTCCCGGTATGGATTTGCTTCCCGGGATTAAAACTCCACTTGTTTACTCATGAAATTTTGTTTTCAATTTCTGCTATTTATGGGAGGCCGTTGAAAATGGAATCTCACACTTTCAATTTAAAAAGGCCCTCGGCGGCGCATGTTCTGATGGAAAGGGGCATCACCCAAGTTGCGGCTGAAGAAGTTTGGATAGGCTCCGCTCACAATGGGTATTGGAAAAAAGTCCTTATTGAGTAGTATCATCTATACTGTTCTAATTGTCGTATGTTTGGACACTCTTGCAACAACTGTTACAGATTACACCCAGAGCTCACAATTAATTTCAAACAGGCGGAAAAAGAGGGGGTGAAAGATGAGGTTGGGCCTATGGAGAGATTGAAGGAGACTGTTGGAAGAGTGGCGGACTCACTTGGAGGGGGTGCTTTGGAGGTTGAGGAGACAAGGGTTGGGGGATAGAACTTGAAGGGGAGGGGGTGGGTTTGGATCCTTGTTTGGCAGGTGGTGGTACTCCTGCTCAGAGGGTTGATGTTGTAGAGGAGGTGTAAATTGTGTTAGATGAGGAATGGAGGATACAGAAACCAAAGAAGAAGAAAAATGTTAAGTACGAGTTGTAACATTTAAAAGAAGATAACATTATTAATGATAAAATCAATACTATTCTAATGGTGAACAATTGAATACCCTAACTAGAGTTGCTTTTAGGGTTAAAATGTTACAACGTCAATATTATGATGTTAAAAATTAGAAAATATCCTATTCCCCTGATGTTCCATGTGATACTTTCTAATGTTTAACATCATAATAAGGAACATCAGGGGAATAGAGGATCCCTATTCCCATGAGAGGCTTAAATACCTATGTAGGATCCATAAAGTTGATTGCTTTGTTGTTTTAGAACCTTTGGTGCATTCCAATCAAGACAGGATGTTAAGGAGACCTAGCAAATATCATTTTGTAGGGAACATTAACAATAAAGTTTGATTTTTTTGGAAAAAGGATATAAGTTTAGAAGTGATAACGGATGACTCGTGATTTCTTCATGTGCATTTTGAGAAGGAGAATTTTAGTGGTTGGGCACCTTTGTCTAGGCGAACACTACCTCTGCTACTAGATTTGATATGTGGAACAAACTTACTGTAAGGAGGACTCTCCTGAAAGAAAGTTGGATTGCATGTGGTGATTTTAATATGACAATGAATAGCTCTGAAAAATTGGGTGGTAAAAGAGCGGACTATCCTCTTATGAACATATTCTGAGAGGCAGTGGGGAATGCAAGACCGTTTGATTTGGGATATTCTGGCTCCAAATTTACATGCAAGAGATGGAAGGTATTTGAAATATTGGATAGATGCTTTGCAAATCCGGTTTGGTTGTCTACATATAATGTCTCTAGGGTGCAACATCTGAGCAGCTCTGGCTCTTATCATAAAACTATTCTATTAACTATTGTTAATTTTCTTAAATTCAGTGCATACCATTTCAGGTACTTTAATGTTTGGTCTAAACATCATGATTTCCTAAGGGTGGCGGAGGAGAACCGGAAGTGTTGTGTTGTGGGTTGTGAATAGTATATTCTTTGGCAGCTTCACAAGAGGGTGGCCAATGCTTTAAGAGGTTGGAATTGGAATGTTTATAGAGATGTGCATAAAAGAGTCACTCAGGCTGAGGCAAAGGTGAGGATGTTGGAACTTTCTAATGAGAGTGGAGGAGATTTTGGGGAGGTTTTGATTGGGGATCATCAGGACCTTCTTCAAGCTCTTAAATAGGAGGAGTAGCGACTTCAACAAAAAGCTGGGGAACTTTAATTTAAGGAAGGTGATAGAAAAGCAAGTGCTGGTCAATTATCAGGGAAGTGGTGGTTGGGTTCAGAGGAGAGGACCCCAGTTTCTATTTCACAGCTGCTACTATTATCTTGGTTCCCAAAAAACAGGAAAAGGTTTCATGGGATCAGTTCAGACCTATTAGTTTGACTTCATCTAAAGTCATTAGTAAAATACTTGTACAAAGAATCCAACCTCACCTCCCCCTCATTATCACTTCTAATCAGTCAGCCTTCATAAGGGGTAATGAAATCTCAGACAATATATTAATAGCTTAGGAATTAATTGAGGATTTGGATAAAAAATGCAGGGGAGATAACATGATTCTAAAGCTTGATATTAAAAAAGCTTATGACTGAATAAGCTGAGATTTCATTATTAGCATATTAAAGGCTCGAGGATATAAAAATGAGTTTTGTGGTATCATAAGAAAGTAGCTATCTTGCAAGAAATACAGTATTCCAGTAAAAGGGTAATACTTATGGCTTCTTTTCAGCTATGAGAGGTATAAAACAAGGTGATCATTTATCACCCACCATTTTCGTCATTGCCTTTGATTATTTTTCAAGAATGGTAAACAAACTGCATGTGCTCAATCCTAAAGGGCAATTTTTCATAAAGGTAAACTTATGGTGACTCATTTAGCTTATGTAGATGATGCTAATATATTTTCTAATGCCGGGAAAAGTGTTGTTAAAAAGATTTATGCTTTGTTGGAGGACTTCCAAGGGATGTCAGGCTTGAAGTTCAGCAAACAAAAAAACGACATTTTGTTGTAGGGAAGCATGTAAAAATAGGGCTGGCACATTGGATTGCAAACTACACTGGTTTTTCCTAAACTGAGCTTCCCCTAAAATACCTTGGTGTGAATCTTTAAAGGGGAGAAGGAAGCAAATTCAGATGGTGGATGTGTTAGAAAAAATTTAAAACAAAATTTTGGATTGGAAAAAAAATTTTCTATCCTATGGGGGAAGAATAAATTTAATTAGAAGTGTGCTAAATTGCATTCCTCTTTATACCTTGCAGGTTTTAAAACTAAAAGCTAGCACTCAGCTGATTTTGGAAAAGTGTTTTAACAAGTTCTTGTGGGCAGGAGGGAAATCAAAAAAAATTTGGGTGGTTGGAAGGCTGTATGTAAGCCTATTAAGGCAAGGGGTTTGGGCTTTAAGGAATTGCACCACATGGCAAGAAATTAATTATATAAAGCTGTGGCTAAAATTCAGGAGGGAATCCTTATGGGCTTCTTTTATGCATAAAAAATACTGTAAAACGCGCTGCCCTTCTAATGTTCATTGGATAGTAGGGGAATCTAAAACTTGGAAAGCAATGTTGAAGGCCAGATATTGGGCTGAAAAATACAACTATTGGGATATTGGAGATGGGCAAATTTCTTTCTGGAGGGATAATTGGGCTTTGCAAGATTTAGAGTATGAGGAAAACGGAAATACTGGGGATTTGTGTGTGTCTGATTTTTTGGCTTGAAGGGCCGTGGAATTTAACTATGTTGAGGGAGAATGTGGGTGAGGGTAATGCATTGTATATCTCCAAGAACCCAATTGTGAGTGGTAAAAAGGACACACTTATCCTAAAGTTGCCAACTGATACATTTGTTGCGATGGATATATATGAGGATTCACATCATTATGATGTGGTTAGATGGGTAAAGCTCATTTGGGGGAAGGCACTTACTCCTATGTCCCTTTTTTTTTCTTTTTCTTTTTTTTTTTCTTTTTCTTTTTTTTTCTTTTTTTTGTGGAGACATTTTCATAATTTCATGCCTTATGATGATATTTTAAAACTTAAAGGTTTGAGGTTTGCTTCACAAAGTTTTCTTTGCAAGAGGAAGAAGGAACATACTATTCATATATATTTTAGATGTCCTTTTGCAATAAATATATGGAGGCTGGGAATTATGTTTCATATTTCTATTTTCTTTCTACTTGGGGTAATCTAGATGATTGTTGCTCATCCTGGAATCCTTAAGGCAAGCAAAACCATTTTTAGCAATTTTCCCTTCTATCACAATGTGCTTCTTGTGGATGGCCAGGAATTCAAATAAGCATGTGGGTGGTAATAATACAGAGCAACATGTGGTGGCTAATATCATGGCTTATGTTCATAAACTTGTTAAATTCTGCTCTTTTAATACCTCCTTTG